CTGGAGCAGAACGATGCCCCCAATGCCCTGCATGGCGGCAGTCAAGGCTGGGGCCGACGCAACTTCGAGGGCCCAACCGTCCTGCAGCGGCATGGCAAGGAAACCCTGCTTTACACCTATCGGAGTCTTCACAACGAGGCCGGGTACCCGGGTACGGTGGACTTGAAGGTCTTCTACACGGTCAGCGAGGAGAAGGAGGGTAACATCACCCGATCCGTGCTGGATATCGAATATGAGGCCGAATTGGTGGGCGATGAGTGCGAGGAGACTGTCATCAACCTGACCAACCACAGGTATGCAGGCACTATCACCTGAGGGGAGGGAAGGGGGGGTGTGCTGCCCTCCATTGAGTCCACTGTATCTGACCAACGTGTGCGGGAGCATAGCTATTTCAACTTAGGTAGCGGCGCAACCACCGAAGGGACTATCGCCAAGCTGTCGACACAAGATTACCTGCCCCTCGAGGGTGGGATCCCTCGCGGCCCAATCGAACCGTATCCCAGCCAGGTGACGAAAGAGTTCACCTTTGGGCCCGAAAATCAGTTCGACGATATCTTCGTGATGGAACGCGAGATCGCCCGGGTGCCCCTCGATACACGCGGACAGCCCCTCCAGCTGCAGGCCGACTTCCGCCACCCGGACTCGCGTCTGAACCTGCAGGTGTATAGCACGGAGCCTGCATTCCAATTCTACACGGGACAGGGCATCGACGTGCCGGCCACGGAAGGGAACCCGAGCCGCGGGCCATTTGCCGGGTTTTGCATCGAGCCTAGTCGCTTTGTGAACGCAGTCAACGAACCAGCCTGGCGGCACACGGTGGTCCTGAAGAAGGGAGCTCAGTACGGCAGCAAGATTACCTATAAGGCATGGAGAGACCCGCGCTGAACTGCCGCGGCAATGGAGATGGAACGAATGGGGTTTAGGTTCGATGGCCAGTCAGACCACTGATCGGTTGATCGATTGTCGCTATTGACCTTTGACCTGTGGTAGATTTGCACTTGGGCCTTGGATCTCGGCATCTTACACTCCGATCAGTGCCTGTCCGTACACGTAACGAGTAATTTGTCCTCAGGTGCGGAACAATTTCCGCTCAATTTCTCACAATGGAAATCAAATTTCTTTTCTTTTCTTTTTTTTTCGCTACGTTGGCCGACATCCCTGGTGGTTGGTGTTTTGTGTGTGCCGATTTACCCTTTATCACCGTGATATGTATCCGAACCAGCGTGGGTCTGGAAGAATGGATCTCTGTAGTGGGAACCCGACTCCACCAGACCTGAGCAAGGGAAGAAGGAAAGACCAGGCGAAAAGGCCTCACGAGAGGCCAAAGTTCCCATCTTCCTTCATTTGGAGGGTGAATGATACTAGCTTCAATGGCACGCCTACATGATCTACAGTCGAACCTGAGTGAGTTAGCCTACTCCCGTCAAATGATACTCAACACGGGAAAAAGTCGTGGTAGAGAAAAGTTTCTTTGACATCTCTGAAACCCTGGGGAGTTCTCTCGGCCCCTCGGAACTCTCGTAGTCTCGCTCTTTCTCTTTCCACTGGGGGGGGGCACATTGGTCGATGGGCTGGATGGGATGGATCATGGGACAGGGAAAAAAAAAATCGCTCAATCGAGGCGCCAAGAAATTCTGGAATCTCACTAGAAGCATTGATTAACTACGCGGGAGGTAAGAGGATGATTCATGATTGAATGCAAAGTCTGGTAAAGAGGTCTGCTTCTTCTGCTCGTTCTTGCATGCGCCATGCTGTGTCGAGCATCATGTACACACTCAGTGACTAGGGTGACTTGAGATTCTTTCTCATGCTTATAAGTATTTTGATACAACTATGTACAGGCTCGTTGCAGCCAAGAGCTCAACTATTACTGTACAATACAGTACTGTATGGAGTACATAAGTGTACATCAGTGTGGAGAGTCCTGTCACTGTGGTAATAACATTGGTATTGTCATCGGAAATCTCGAATGCAAAAAAACCGCATGTGTTTGCCGGAAATACGGATGATTGAGGGAACTGTACAGTACTTACCGTGCAGGAACTTTTACTTCGGAGGCCGAAAGCGCGGGAGACGGAAACATTCCAGTCCCGGGCAAAAGCTTGGCGTGCGGATCACTGATGCCTTACTTAAGCTGGACTGCGCATTGCCCAGGTTATCCAAGTTATGTACAGCATAAAGTATTATGATTCACAGCTGGCCAAGTTCATTCCATACTAGTCAACGGCCATCTAGTCATCACACGACCTCATGCAGCTTGGAGGGAGAAAACCGCATGGTCCTGCATAACACTATACTATGCACTTGCACAACCCACAGCTGCATCTGCCTGCGACCTGAGGATTCTGGCATTGATTGACTACGTACTCCGTACAAACTGAACCTAGTTTACCCCACATAAGCGTATGGACGGTGGAGGACAGACCCAGTTGCTGGTACTGATGCCTGATCCCAGCCAGAAGTGTGAGCTCATCCTCTCGACACATACTTATATGTACAGTACTAGGCTACTTGCAACAAGCTAAGTTGGTGTAAGAAAAGGATTCTTTCTTACATCTGATTACAATAGCGGGTTTACGCATTCCTTAAAGGCGAGACAGCCCATCGACCCGTCCTTTTCTCATTTACTGTTTTGTTGATTTTTCTTTATCTTTTTTTTTTTTTTTTTTTTTTTTTTCCCTCTTCCTTTTCCAATACAATCCTGCTGCCTAAGAAATAGCTAGTAATAGAGAGTCGATTGTAACTTAACTAACAAGTGGTCCTTGACGTCAGCGATTGTTCACAGCTCCTATGCAGCAAAGTCAGGTGAGAATGAACACTTGTCGAACTTATTTGTGAGTTGGCAGAGCATTGAGCTCTGGGATCACTAATCTCCTTCGTTCTTGTGTTGACAGATGTCATCATCTCTTGGGGCAGAGAAAGGATCCACGGGTCGACGTAGCAACCTCGTGTTCGTATTCGAAGTTAGACACGCACGCGTACGGGAGTGGTCTAGAGGTAGACAATTTATATTCGGTATCTTGAGACAGTATCTGCTGATTCGTATACTGTCAATCCCTTACACGTTTCGGGCAATATGGAATATTGAAAACTCTGCTCTGGAAGTACAGAGTACTGTACATAATTCCGTACTACAGTACTGCGTACAACACAATGATAAGAGTGAGTGATTACATAAATCCTGACTCATCTGCCCCCCTCTCTCCTGCCCTTCCCCGGAAGCACCCGAGGAAATTGCTTGCCCCGCGTGGGGTTCCGTCGACCACTTCCTTCTGCATCTCCTGCATCTCCTTCCATCTTCCACCTCCCCTCCATCCTCAACCTCCCGAGACGACACCCAAAGACTCCAATGGCTGCCAAATACGGTGACCTCAGTCATCTCCTTCCCGGGAATTACAAGCGCCTCATCAGCGCTTGGTTGGAAGAGGACTGTCCCAGCTTCGACTATGGCGGCTTCGTCGTCGGGGAATCGGAGGGCGAGGCCCGCTTACTAGGCAAGAGCAAAGTATGTAGTCGGCTGTTCCCCTTCCTCCCTTTCTGTTTCTTTCCGTTGACGTAGGCTCCTGGTCTAGGGGATCATTGCAGGTGTTCCGTTCTTCAATGAAGTCTTTGCGCAACTGGGATGCACGTACGTCTATACCTTGTCCTCCTCTTCAACCATACCCACACCCCACCAATCGACAAGACCCTACCCCACTGATGATCATCCCCAACAATTGAACCCAATGCAACAGAGTAGAGTGGCATCTTCCCGAAGGCTCCCTGACCACCACCACCACCACCACCACCGCCGACCCCATCAAAACCCACTGCGCCACCGTCCGCGGTCCCATCCGCAAGATCCTCCTCGGCGAGCGCGTCGCCCTGAACATCCTCGCCCGCTGCTCCGGCATTGCCACCAAGTCCGCCGCCTTGGTCGCCGCCGTCCGCGCCCAGGGCTGGACCGGCACCCTGGCCGGCACCCGCAAGACCACCCCGGGCTTCCGCGTCGTCGAGAAGTACGGCATCCTGGTGGGCGGCGCCGACCCCCACCGCCATGACCTGAGCGCCATGACCATGCTGAAGGACAACCACGTCTGGGCCTGTGCCAACAATCGGGCCGCGGCCGACGGCGGGGTCGGGGACCGCGCGGGCGCCTCGTCGTCCATTGCGGCCGCTATCCCACGCGCCGTCGACGCCGCCAAGGCCGTCGGGGGCTTCGCGACCAAGGTCGAGGTCGAGGTGCGGGATCTCGAGGAGGCGGATGCTGCCATCGCCGCCGGGGCGGACGTGATCATGCTGGACAATTTCACGCCCGAGGGTGTGCGCGAGGCTGCGCGGCAGCTCAAGGCGGGTTGGGCGGGTAAGCGGAAGTTTTTGATTGAGGTCAGTGGTGGGTTGACGGAGGAGAATGCTGCGCTGTATGCTTGTCCCGACGTCGACATCTTGTCCACTAGCTCTATTCATCAGGGTACCGGCATCGTGGACTTCTCTTTGAAGGTCTCTTTGCGGTGAGTTGGTTGCGGTCGGTGCCGTGTTGCGCCGCCAGGAGGGGAGAAAGTTGGGATCTTACGATGCTACGTTGTGTACTGTATATCTTTGTAGACTGGGACTAATGATTTATGTCTCAATCGTTTTTTGTTGTTACCGGCCAGATTTCTTGCACCTTCAATCATTCAGAAATCTCCCGTTTCACCGTTCGCCCCTTTACTTTCTGCCGGCCACCTTCTCTGGTTCAACTTTGCTCCAAATCAACAGTGCTCCACGTGTCTAAATCATGCGCCAACAAAGAAATAAAATCCAAAAGAGAGAGGGTATCTGGTACACACACACGCAGAGGACCGAAACAATATACTACATCGCTATCAGCAGGCTGGGTTGAATGAGCAGAACATTTGCGAGGGGGGAATAATAAACAAGATAACGATGGATGGTCATTCAAGAAAGGAAGGGGATGCGGGAAATTGGAAATTGGAAACTGAAAACTGGAAAAAAAGACGGCTGGCTGGTAGCAAGCAAGCCTACACCTCGATATCAACGTAGATGCCCTCCTCCCCACTTGAACTCGGCTCGTCGTCGCGATGGCGCTCGTACCCGTCGCTCGTGCCGGGGTCAGAACTATCGAGCTGCCGTGGAGCTGGCACGCGCATAGGGCGGCCGCCATCGCCGTCAAGCGATGATGTCCTAGTCGACACGTCGTGATGTAGACGCCGTCTCTCCAGCTGAGCGCGCAGTCGCTGGTTCTCTGCGTCACGCTCCTCGAGACGCTTGCGCGCCCCGCTGCGGTCCAAGATCCGAGCTTCCCGTTCGGCTTTAAGTCTCTTCTCCAGTTCACGCAGCCGCTGGATCCACCTCTCACTATTGGCGGGGTCGGCCGCTAGCGGATGGGGGCGCGAGCCGTGTACAAGGGCACCGTCTGTGGCCTCGGCCAACGTCGACCCCCGACTGCGCGAATGAGACTGTAGCAGATTAAGCTCGGCCTTCAGGAGCCGGTTTTCTCCACGGAGCTTAGCGGTCTCCGGAGACACTCCGGACAGGCTGCGGTTGTGTTGCTGCGCGCGCATGTTCATCATCGATTCTTCCAGACGATCCAGTTTCTTAACTCGCAGGCTGAAAGTGTGTTCTAACGACTGATACTGTTTGGCTAAATCGCGCTCAACGCCCTTGATGCGAGCCTTGAACCCCAGAACCACGTTCTCCAGAGTTTTGACAGCAAGCAAAAGGTTGCGGCTGAAGCCGGGCCAAAATAGGATGTTTCCGATGACTTCCTGGCTAGGCAGATTGCCATTGATCAGGCTGTTGGAGTGAGCCCAATCCGGCCCGCACATCGAGGACAGACGCTTCCAGATCGTCAAGAGCATGGCGTTCCTCTCGCTTAGCTGGTCCTTGAATTGTTGTTCAATAGTCGTGAAGCGCTTTCGATCTTGATTCCGTGCATTTTCAAGGTCCGAAATGCGCGAGTTGTTCTGCGTGATGGTCCGGGACGCCTGGTGATGTGATTTGAGGGCCTGATCGAATGACTGCTTGTCGGCGCGGCGAGCCTGGCGTTCGCGATCAAGAAGCTCGGCCAATTTACGTGACTCCAGACCATGGCTCTCCAGTAGCGCATCCCTGTTTCGCAACAACGACTCCTTCTCATCGAGCTTGGAGCGGGTACTCTCAAGTTCTAGGGCAGTCGATTCGAGTTCCTTCTGCAATTTCATGATGTTGGAAATGAGGCTAGAGCGACTGCCGGTCAGATCACCCAGCGTTTCACGCAGGTTGTTCTCCAAGTCCATCAGCCGCTCTCTCCACGTATTCGTGTCGATCTCCTGTGCCGAGAGGCTCTTCCTCAGCTTGCGCACCTCTTCCTTAGCTGCAGACGCTTCACGATTGAGCTCATTGATAATGCGCTGGACCTCTTGTTTCTCCCTGTTGCCCACAACTTCCCGTTGGTGTCGCTCCTCGGCCAGACGCTCTTCTAGCTCCTTAGCTTTGTCCTTTTCACTCTGAAGTGCCAGCCTGTATGTCTTGAGCTCCGACTCGAGGTCTCCAATCCTGATCTTATCGCCGTCCTGCTCTTCCCGAAGGAACGCAATCTCGTTTTGACTCGACTCAATTTGAACCGTTAGTCGCTGAACCTTGGTGTTTGATTCGTACAGACTCTTCCCCAGAGTCTCCATCTCACGGTTGCAGTCTTCCAGTTCCTGCTGAACGGCCTTATATCGCTGCAGATTGTTCTGCGCATCCTCCTCCAGCCGAATAATACCTTCACTTGCCGAACGCATTTCGGCCTGCAAAGCTCTTAGGTTTTCATCTTGCACCCTGAGTTCCTCGTTCAATTGTTGACACTCTTCCACCTTCTGATCTAATTCCTCCCCAACAGTGTCTATCTCCTCCTGGGCTTCGGATCTCAGATGTTGAAAAGCTTCATTGCGTTCCTCAGCCAACTGCAAAGCCTGGTCACGTTCCTGCAAGGCCTGATCGCGCTCCTGAGTCAGAGTCTCGATTTCTTCATCTGCTTGGTCTACGTCTGCTTGGTAAGCTTTGTCAACAGCCTCCAATTCTCGAAGGTACTCCTCGGCTTGCTCCCGAACAGCCTGGTTATCGAGCTTTAAGGCCGAGACCTGGTCACGCAATTCCCCAATCCGGACTTCTAAATCTTCTCGCTCTGCTTCGTCGCCTGGAGATTGACCTGTCCCATCACTAGCACGGGACGAAGGCCTACCGTGGGCTCGAGATGCCGAGCGATCGAATATACTATCGCCCGCCACTGATCGACTACCGTCGCGGCAATGGCCTAACTTTAGTTCTTCGATCTCCTGGTATAGACGCTCTTTCTCCCGGTTCCGAGATGTAAGCATCGAGGTTTGCGCGCTCACTTCCTTCCTTAACTCTGCATTCTCCTGTTTCAGGAGCTCCAGTTCCATGACCAGTGTGGAACTGGAGGAGCTCCCAGTATTAGCATTCCGAACGAAATCTCTTTCAGAAGCGGCTGAGTATGAGGCCACCGATCCAACCCAGTCCCGCTGCCCAGGCCGCGCGGAGGCCAGTGGGAAGCTCATCATCTCGGTCCTCAGGCGCAAGGCCTCCTCCCGTAATCTCTTGTTCTCCTCCTCGGCTTGTTCACGTGCTGCGGCCTCGGCCTCGAGCATGTCCTTCCACATATCCTGGAGTTTGAAACGTCAGTAGGGTTGACCTCGAAGAAGCTGCCCGCAGAGTAAACATGGACTGACCCTCTCTTCCCTTGCTCCCACGTCTGATCCCATGGGCCTTCCCTCGCTCCTTCCATCGCTGAGTGATTTCACCATCTCAGCAAGTCTTCTCTTCTCGCTCTCACGCACGATGCTTTCTGACCTGAACCTCTCAATCTCTAGCTCGTAGGTTTCTATCCGTTCCCTCAAGAATAGTATCTCTTCGTCCTGTGCTGCATCTCGGTCTTCATCTTCGGAGCCGTCAGGGTCGTGATTAACCATAGATTCTTTGTCTGATTGCTGGTCCTTCAGCTGTTTTTCAAGCTCACGGACTTTCCGCTTCAGGTGCTGGCTGTCTTTCTGTAATTTCAACTTGTCTGATTTCAGCTCGACATTCTCGGAAATCATCTCTTTGATGCCTTCCTCAGAGCGCCGGTTCAAGGCTTCATTCAAAAAGTGGATTCTCATCTTCAGATCAAAATTCTCCTTTGAGAGACGGTCGATGGTACTACTTTGCTCCTTGAGGGTCATGGTACGACCACTCTTCGTGAAGCCGGCAGTGGTGCTTGTACGTTTGTCCGGGGACAGTGCACGGCTGCCATAATCCTCCCTAAATTGCTTGACGAATGTGCTTGGGATCTGAACATCTTTGATACGTTCGGCAATAGCTGTATCCGTGGGGAAGCTGTTATTGCGGTGTTTAGCCTTCGGTGTCATGGGCTCTGCAGCTTCCTGGGCACTCGGTTGCTCAGATACATGATTTGCAGGCTGATAGGTGTGATGGTGCTGGGAAGATGATCCTGGGCGCGACCTTGAGGGCCCGTCTTCCTCGTTGAGAGTGTGGAGACCCCCTTCTGTAGTTCCACTGGGCCCTTTACGATCAAAGACATTATCATCGCTGTAACCAGAAATGCCTGAAGCCATGCTGCCCAAGCTCACCGATCGGGCTAGTGTGTTGCGCTGACCAGCTTGGATGCTACTCGTCATGCCAGGTGCTGCACCGCCCGATTGAAGGGCATAGTCAGCACCCAATGTCGCGTCGCTATTTGTTATCTCTGTGCCGGTGCTTGTGACCGATGAGTATGAAAGCCGATGTGCCGACTGGCGGCTGGCCAGATACTTTGGCCTACTACTTCTGCGACTGCTTGCGCGCGAGATCGCTTCTGCGTCCCCGCCGCTGTTCTCGGGGAAGAACCTCGATGGCCCAGGTGATAAGTTGCGCGGCTCGCTGTGAGAATTCTGCCCCATTGACTGCAGCAACTGGTTGGGCTCGGGTGGGGAGAAGTGCTCTCTTTGAATGACACCCATAGAGGTTTGGTTGGCATCTCGAGGATCTTCCGAGGAGGCGGTCGGATTCCTGCTGGCTGTCCTAAGAGCTGCCGCCGCCGAAGGCGACGAGTGTGTTCCCTCAATTTGGGTTGTAGCATTGTCGACGTGCTTCTCGGAAGAAGCTGCGGATGTCGCGTCCATGGCTTCATCGTCGGCCTCTTCGGAACGCGGACTAGGGGTTTGCGGAATTGGAACCTCGTCGCCGACCGATGTAATGTCAACATTTGACTCATCCGGTACCATAAAGGATAGCTGAGAATTTTCCGGACCGGAAGTACCAGGGGCATCACCGCGATGCGCTTCAACCATGGAAGTATCATCAGCATCGATGGTTCGATGTGTTGTTGTGGCTTGAATGGTCGAAGGGTCAGGTAAAAAACTTGACTCCATGTCCATCAGTCGTCTCCGCATTTCGTTTTCCTGGAGAAAGGTCTGGTCCTCGACACGGTCGTGGTCGCCATCCTCGCTCGACAGGAGTAGGCTACTGTCGTCATTATCGGGCAGAGGGGGCAGAGAAAGGGTTGTATCATCGGGTTCTTGCTGTCGCGCGGAAGATGTAACAATCGCAGGGTTGGGCTGATTGATCATATGAGATGGTGCTTTGTCAGTGTCAGTGTCAATGCGATCAGCTTCGCCGCCCGAGCCGATGGTATCCATTGTGTTTTGAGGGCAGATTCCCCCACGCTTTTGAAAGGGGGGGGGGCTGGAACTTTCAGATTGGTGGATGTGATCGCATAAGGTTTTGTGATATTTTTGTAAAGAGATGATATGATAAGGTACATAGGAGTGAAGCAGACCTGGGAGGAGTAGGAGCGAGGAAAGGGAGGTTGGCTAGGCGCGGAGCAGTTGGAAAGTGAAGGTTGGGACCAGATGATGCCTTAACTTTCTGTGTTGTATTTACTGTTTGGGTGGTGAATGGACACCTTAGGCTGCCAAGCCCGGGTCCAGCAACAACAGCAACAACAGCAACAAGGAAAATAGGTGGTACCTCCCAGATACTGTACAACACATTTACAATACTTATAATACCCTGAGCAGTTGAGGAGTTGATCTCGGATTTTATTCTAAGCGACTGGATAAAACCACCAGCATGAGAGAAGAAAAGAGTAAAAAAAATAAATACAAATAAAAGTTCTCTAATAGCTGTCCAACAAATTCAACCCTCATCATGTGCTAATCTAGAGAAGAAGAAAAAAAGAGGAAAAGAAAAAGAAAAGAAAAGGAAATTGATAGCGGTAATAGAAAAAAATTCTCTAATGAAGGTAAAAGAATAAAGGCAGAGGAGGAGATGAAGAGTGCAGGAGAACACGGCTTCCAAAGCAACTGGAATGCATAACTACTTAGCAACTGCAAGGAAATAAGGGTATAATGAAAAACATGAGCTTGAGTGTCACAAACCAAAGGAGCCAGAAGAACAGGAAGCCCCAATCACTCCTCTGCCGCAGTCTCTTCGCGGGCTGCATAGATCCTATTCTTCTGCTCCAGTGCACCCGACAACGAATCGATATATGTGCGAAATTTCACGATTTCACGCAACAGGTATGAAGACTTTCGCTCCCAATTCGCCAACGCCTTAGAAGCATTGGGGTGCCGAGGCGAAAACGCTAGGATCATGGCAGAGCGGAGTTCATTGTGCCGCTGCAGCTCGTCTTCAACATTCTTGACATACGTCTGCAAAGCTTTGAGTTGGTCAGCCTCGGGAAGGGCCGAGGCCACCATGCTTTGCTGGGGAGGAGCCCAGTCGCTAATGAGGACCCGATCGGCTGGTAACCGAGGTCGAATGCCCTGTTGATCGATCGAGCTACGGATCGAACTTTGGATGCTGGGTCGAGCCCCGGATGAAGAAGGTGGCGTCCGACTGCTCTCGGCCGAGATGAGAGCGCTGTTGATGACGGCATCACTCCAGCCGTACTCGATATTACTGATTCCACCGATCAAGGGCTCTTTGGATAGCCTGGCGCTCCAATAGTTGGCACTTGATACGAATTCGCGCACAATCTCCGGGGTTCCCACTTGGAAAAGATGCACCGCACCGGTTGGGAGGCTTAGAGCCCAAACATGGGGGCGAGATTTGGAGTAGCCGGGAGGTGGAAGCGCACTGGCAATGGTCTGACGGAGGAGAAATTTCCAAGTCTCTTCTGCGTTCTCAGTCCAGTTTCCGCCTCCCACCACGAGACCCGCCGGGTGACGCTGCTTAGGTTTCTGCCGGGCGCCTTTGACCGAGGCGTTGAAAGAGAAAAGGCGCATCCAGCCCTGCTGAATGACCGCAAAGCACTCGTTCCAATTGCGATCCTTGGCCCTCTTATCAACTGAGTCCAGGTGGTGTTTATGCTTCAGACTGCCTTCCTTGGCCCAAGGGGCGCCGGCAAGTTGTAGAGTTTCGTCCTCCAAAAGCGGGGTATCTCTCTCAGCATCTTCGATGCTTGTGATTGAATGGGCCGAATCTTCACGGATAATGGCTTGACTCAAGGCGTTGGCGAAGCCTATCGACTGCTGATAATCCCCGCGCGGAAAGTCTGACCCAAATGAATCCACTGATGCCGAAGTCAACTTTCCGGAGGAGTACTTACTCCAAGTACTTGATGCGGAAGGACTCCAGAGCGATGCCTGATCGTCCAAGCTGGTCCTACTGGATCCCATGGTAGACGGAGGATATAGCCTCGCTCGCGAACGAGGTTTAGATGACCACCGCGCAGTCCCATAGCGGGAATCTGCAGAGCGACCACGAGGATAGATGTCAGAGCCACTTCTACTCACAGTACTGGGACTTCGGCGGAGCCCACTAGTATAAGGGCCAAGCAAGTTGTTGGCTGAAGACCGCGGTCCTTCTTTCTCTGTTGACGCGCCGTAAAGAGGAAGCTTCTGTTTCTGGATCGAGGAATAGAAGTCCCGGAGAACAGCCTCGACCTGTTGTTCCCATACCCTCATCGACCCAATGAAAGGCGTGTTGACAAGCGGGCCAGTTTCGTTATCGGGATCAGTTGTAATCTTCGCAGATAGATCCGTCCGAGACAGTCGGTTGACTAATTTTGCCGGTTGATTCAGTGGCCTATCCATGCTCGCAAAACCCCGGTCATGGTCGTCGGTGGGTGACATCGGGTCTTGCGTCGAGGCTCTCGATTTACCATTGAGACTTTCGTCAGGGGCGGCTTCGGTAGCCACCCGACGGATCGTGGGCATCGTGTTTCGAACAAATTGAGTCTTAGTCATTTTCTGCTCGATGTCGGCAAGATGCAGATCGGTGTTCAGCAGGAGGAGAGAGTAACAGATCGTGTGCACAACATCTAGAGTCATACCATTAGTCCGGCCATGGCGCTCATTTCTGGAATTAGGCTGAACCTACCTGCAGCTTTGAAGCTATGGCGCGGGTTACACGCACACCACCTTGTAGAAAAAGCATCCAGGACCCTATCCACTTGCTGAGTCTCACCCTTCAACACTAGCCGAGTACAAAGACTTCGCAGGGCTGCCAGTATGTTGAGGTTGGACCAGTCGAAAAGTTCCATGTATGCGTTGCGTATCGAAGCACGGTCGGGATCCCCAAGCCAGGCGGCGGCAGGCTCGTTCCCGACCACTTGTTCCTGGCCTTCGAACAACATCCTCGCTTGCTCCCGGTCGGAATCTGTCGGTTCGTCGCCAAGGGGGCTGTCTGAACGATGAGACTCCTCTCTGAGGGGATCTATGCGTTTTGGCTCAATTGACAATGCGGTGGGAGCTTCTGATGCCGTATAGTAATTCGAAACTTCCGAAGTTGAAACCCGTGGGGACTCGTTCAAGCCAGCCGCAGCCGCAGCCGTATTCCTCTCGATTTCATTATCCTTGCACACATCTGAAGGGAAGGCTCCGTGGGCTTCTTTCAACTTCGGTGGATTCTGGAGGGCGATGTCATCAAGGTTCTCCTCAGGGACGGCACCTGTCTGAGAGAAGCTTTCAACCACAGGCGAAAGCGAGGAGCCGGGTATCTCCTCAGGTTTCAGCTTTGTTTGAAGAGTACTAGCACCAGAACCGTTATCTACGTCGTTACTGTTCGAGTCCACTCCCTTTCCACGCCATGGGTGCTCCGGCTCTTGCCGCTGGTCGGCAGGATGACTCGGATCCCAGCTGCCCGGTCTGATGATGGTCGACGCCTCATCTACACTGCTGGTGAGGCCGAGTGATGATGCCTCCGGAGCGCTGCTCGGTGGAACCGTCGGGTAAAGGCTGTATTTAGCCTTTGAAGGACCCTGGGTTGCTGTGACTAAACTCCCTCTCTGATTTTGCGTCGGCGAACCTCGCAGGTTTTGGGCCTCCGCGGCTGGGCGCCGGTCCAAGGGTCTACTGCCGGGGTCTGCAGTGGAAGAAGGGTTCATCCCTTTCCCTACACTGCTAACCGAGATAGCCTCCGGTTTGGCCGGTTCCAGTACGCGGAGATGGCCGCTGAGCTCCGGGGGAAAGAAGATGGGGGGAGGAGCACTTTCAGCAACCGACTTCTTGCGCCGACGGAAGAAGGAAGACTTCTTGGTCACCACCTGGTGCGTTCCTCCTTCGCGGTGCGAGTTGATTCCTGCTGCACTATTCTTCAATGGCTGTCTCCAGCTCTTGGCGTTCGGCCCAAATCCGCTGGGATCCTTGTGGTCGTTTTCTTGGGCAAAGACGTGGTCGGAAGGGTGGTACTCGCTTGAAATGGCGGTCGACACCTTTGAGGAGCCAAACACACGCCGGAAGAACCCTGGCCGTTCCTTGGCTGCTGGAGCGGGGTCGGGTGGCGCGGGGAAGATCGGCTTGTTGAAGGAAATGGTTGGGCTCGGCGCGGGCGGGTCGAGCGATGCAGGGATCGTCGGCGGAAGTTCGAGTCCGCTCTCCCCGAGGTTGGCCAGATCTGAATGATGACTCCGGATCGTCGCCGTGCCCAGATTTTCCGGTCGAGTTTTTCGACTGTTGTTCGACCGCGGAGATTTGACGCTGTTCCGGCGCGATGCCACGGGTGTCGTCCTTGACTGCTGGGGGTTAGAGGCGCCTGCAAATTCAGCCTGCGGAGACGAGTGGAATTTACTAGGTCCACCGGGGACGCTTGGAGTCGGGGCTGCATCAAGCCCTCCATACGATGAGGAGTCCAAGTCAAAGACAAGATCCGGAAATGAGATGAATGGCTGTCTCGTGCCGAAGTCTAAGCTCGCAGAACGCCTCTCGCCGGCCGCGTCCAGTCGTCCCGTTTGCGATGAAGTAAGATCCGTGGGGGGCGAGGAGCTGCCTCGATTTCCATTCCGAGAAGCTCGGATATTTGCTGGGGACGCAATGTTCGAATTGGTCCTGTAATCGTAGAGTTGACCACGGGAGCCGGTTCCTTCGCGACTGCGAGTGCTGCCGTATCTTCGTAGGCTGGTATGATAGTTCGAGCTGCTGTTGCTTCTACGGCTTCTCGCCGGCTGTGTTGCATAACGGCCAGTGCTCTCATCGTATGTGCATTCTACCTCCGAGGACACGGAGGAAGAGAACGTGTGGCCACGATAGCGGCGTTGCGCGATCGACTCTGGCGAACCGTTGCCGCACAAGTCGGTCTCAAACACCGAATTGAATAAGCGATAGTCATCCAGCAAAGAGCCCGAAGCAAACTGATCCAACGACAGGAGCATGTTATCCACAATTGAGGTGCGGGCTGCATGTTTCGGCGATAGCGACAAGTCATGGGGGTCGCGCTCGTCGCCCGATTCATTGCTGTCGTTGGCATTATCAGCTGGATTGAAGTCGTCCAGAAAGGTCTCCCGCACGGAAGGTCTCGGGTGGGTTCCCCTTCTCGCGGCTATGCGGTCGCTTGGTTCGAACGGAGGGGTTTGAGGAGGTGAACTGCTTGCGTGTTGCGGAGGCATTATGCGACTATCGAAAAGAGAGGTTCTATTCATCGAAGAAGACTTCTGCGAATGGCCGGGGTTCGTGGCATTAATGCGAAGCGAGCGACGGGGCCTAGAAAGAACGTAAAGAGGAAGGGAAAAGAGAAGACAGGAAATCAGAAAGAGCAGGACCTGTGCCCAGTCGTGGAAGCGAGACAGAACGTCCGTTTTGGAGCGATTGGTCGGTGGACTATTGAGCGTCACCGTTCGCCTTGAGGGGCTCAGAAGCCCTGATCCTTCTCCTGATTTCAAGAATGTGCCGGCAGCCAATTCGCGGACATTAGATAATCGGCATAAAAATGGCCGTCGCCGTCATCGAAGCACAGTGTAGGTCAAAATTCACCACCAGCTAAACATCGTGTGAGAGGTGGAAAGAGAAGTGAATTGGTGGTGTAAGGGGGAGGGGGGAGGGGGGAGGGACCGAGTGCTGCAATTGGAGTGCGTGATGATTAAAAGCGAGCTATATCGATCCTGCTATCTTCCTTCAGTCATCAGTCAGAGTGAAAGAATGAGGGATCGATCGACGTGGATTTGGAGAGACGGGGGAGGGGAGAAAGAGGGGATTTCATGGGTCAGGGAAAAAAGTGGATGGATGACAGGCAATAGGTCGAGGAAACGGGAGACCGCGATGAAGAAGACCCAAGGGATATGGAAAGTCTAACAAGAGTCAAGACATGAGTGGGCGTGGGGGTGGAGAGAGCGAACTGGCCACGAGGATCGCGAACGCTGAAGGGAAGGGGAGGAAAGGAGAACAGTACATACCTCGTAAGCTACATCGACTGCATGTTAATGCATACGCCAGCGTCTCAATCAAACACTGGAAAATGTAGTCGGCATGGGATTATCAGGTGAGGGACACAGCATGCTCGATCATTATTTGAAAGAGTCAGGGACCCTGGCAAGATGGAGGGAGAGGAAGAAGGAAGAATCAATACAACAAACAACAAGAAGAATAATTGGAATAGTGTTGGATCTAAAGAGTTCAGGGGCCACTTTATCGACGGCTGCAGGCACCGATTCATGATTTGCAAAGTACGGAGTACTGTACGAAGTAAGTAAGTTACTACCCCCGTAGGGTCCCCCGTAGGGTCCCCCGTAGTCAACTAAACTAAGTCAACAGGGAGACGACACGTCCAACTGGAATACTGCCTCTTCCAACTTCCAAAATTATTCGATTCCCTAACCAGATCTGTATATAGGTCCAGTCTACTCCGTATAGAGGACCACCAGTGTTTGCGGTAGGTTACAACTTAACGCTGAGTACGGAGTACAATCAGTACAGTTCATGTACATGTACTACAATGTACTGTATTGTACTAGACAGTAGGTTACGGAGGGCTTCCTACTAAAACGGGTCCAAAATTCCTCCGCCGGCAAGAAGGCCCCAGATCAGATGATGACATAACATCCCATGCGTTGTTTCAACTGTTGGAAGGAGATTCAATCCCACCATCCATCATCATCATCTTCTTCTTCTCTTCTTCCTCCTCCTCCTCCTCCTCCTCCTCCTCCTCCACCAACAGTAAATCTGTTGTGGCTTAATTAGCTTCGCCTCTGGAGCTCGTCACGCGTTCAATTTGCATGAGTCTCATTCCACTTACGTGGTGCTGTCCCGCGATTTGGGACCTCCCCTTCCCTTCGTCCACTTTCTGAAAGATGAACCCTCATATATCTGTTCCCCGCCAACATGCCAGTCCATTGAATTTCGGCGGCACAACGCCTGCCAGCCGTAGATCCAATATACGGATGCCGCGCTTCTTCAAAAGGTAGGCATCTCAATTCGAACTCGGAGCCTTCGGTACGCGGCGTATAGCCCGGCGTGGAGCTTCCAGGACGATCTCTATCGACATCCTCGGCCCATCACTGACCGTACCCCTCCCTTCCTCGTTGTGGGTTAGGCTATTCAAGTTCCCGCAGATGGATTTCGAGATGGCAATTTGGGAGATGACCTCTCTGTTGATTGCGCCTAAGAAAGTCTTCAAGTCAATATACTATCATGTGCGTTGTTCCTGTTCCCAGACAACAGGAAATGTTGATTGTCTACTGACTCCTTGTCTGGCTCAAAGAAACGTAGGTTGTCACGAATATACGTATTCTGCATCTCCGACCAGGTTGCCGGGGGGAGGAACTGACCCATCTCCAGAAACGAAGAATACCTGGCATCGCCCGGATCCATCTTTCACCTACCTGCTCTCCTTCTTCCTTCTTCTCACAGCCCTCGCGTGGGGCCTCGCCTATGCGCCGTCGTTTGGATCCATTGTTCGGCTGTCTCTGATTTTCATCTTCGTTCATTTCGTCGGGTCCTCGCTTCTGGTCTCGACGTTGGGATATCTCATGATTCCCCGCCTGTTCGGCCCTCACGGCGCCGCAGCCTCCCTCACGGGATTTCGAGGTAGTCGTGGTCGGCGGCGTGGCGCGGCGCAGGGCTTGTTCACGCAGCCCGGTGAAAAGGACCAGCTGGAGTTTGGCTACTGCTTTGACGTAAGTCACTTCAACCTGTCTCAGGGCCCAGGATTTCGAGCAGGGAAACTAAATCTCGCAAATCTTAGGTATCGAACCGGGCATACTTTCCCCTTTATCTGCATCTTTATGTAGTGCAGTTTCTTCTTCTACCACTGCTCACCCGCAGTCCAAGCAATTTCCTGGCTACATTCCTCGGCAACACGCTCTACCTGTCCGCACTGACATATTACACCTATATCACGTTCTTGGGGTACAATGCCCTTCCTTTCTTGCACAACACCGAACTACTCTTGCTCCCTATCCTAGCAGTTGCGATCTTGTGGCTTGTTAGCCTAGTCGCCGGATGGAGCCTGGTCATGCAAGGCCAGATCCTGGAGATCTTGGTCTGGGGCGCATAAGCACTGCCTTTTGTTCGAGCAGGTGCTCGAGCTGCTCCCCCTTCAAGAGCATCTCCTCTTCATTACCATAGCTGCAATGTATGTAAGTCTTTCAAAGTTTTCTGCTCAGCGCTGGCGTATATGTCATCTTGCGTTGGTGCTGCAACTACTCGGTCAGTCATGGATCACTGATTCATGATAACATCTTTCGCCTTCTCTTTTCAAAGAGGAGAGCCCGGATTCCAGGTTGAAAGGATTTGCAGGGTCTTTTGTCTGATAACCTAGTCCTAATGGATGTGAACATGCGTCGTCTCACCTCTTAGTTGAGGTGTAGCGCAAAACAGAAGTACTTTCGTACTGGACAGTACATCTCCTGGATAGATATAATGCATGAACTTATGTCACGTGTGGCTCTGTATTACTACCAAGGACTTGATAGAGAAGACTAGAAGGGGAAGTAAGGCCAATCATAATTCCAAAACCTGTACCAAATCAATGTATATGACGTGCACCAGCGGCAGCGGGAAGTAAAACCAAATTGGAGATGTCTATTGCGTGGCGTTTACTTTCTCTTTGGCGCACCTTTCTTCTTCCCACCCTTAGAGGCCTGCAACTTGGCATCTCGTTCGGCGGCACGCTGCTTCGCGAGCTCGACCTTCTCCTCCTTCTCGGCTTCCTTGCGGAGCCGATCGGCCTCACGCTGTTCGCGAACGATCGCCAAGCGAGCCAAGTCGGAGCGAGCCTCCTCTGTCTTACCCTCGGCGTGAAGCTTCAAGTAGCGTTGTCGCGCCTGATGAGCCTCGATCGCCTCGCGCTCCCGCCGCGACAACTGCGATAAATCGCCTTGCGGCTTTTGCGCGTCTTCCTGGTTGTCGCTGAGCTGGGAGCGTGATTTGGCCGTGTGGTTGGGATTGGCTGGTAGGTCGTCGTCATCGTCGTCGGTGTCGTTGCCTGATTCGTCTGAATTCGAAGGGGGCAGGTCACCCGGTTGAGCGGCGGTGTGCATCCGGCGAGCCTGGGCAGCCTGCTTTTTCGCTTTGGCAGCCGCACGCCGCTCCTCACGCGTCATTTCGTTCGTACCGCTGCTGCTCGCAACGGGTATGGAAGACGGACCGGGTCTGGCGCTGTTGGAAGGTTCATCATCATCATTGTCGGATGACTCGTCGGAGTCTGATTCAGAAGATTCCGCTTCCTCGGCAGAAGAGAGATTGTTTTCCTCGGAATCCTGTGATGTGGTCTCGGAATTAGGGGAGCTGGGATTTGAAGTGGGTTACAGCTGTAGGGGGGATTGAATAGGACATGTAGGGGTGTAGTTGAGTCTAGGTAGAGTAGGAGTGTCCGGGGGTAAAAAAAATAGAATAGGCATACGAACCCTCCAAAGGCCAACAGGGTTTCCATCTTTGTCAATGGGTTGAACATCACGACTGAAATGTTTTCCACCTGTTCGATGTGTGCGCAGGAAAATTGCACCGGGTCAGTCGCGGCCAATATCCTTCTCTTGTGGTGTGATGCTGATGAGGGAAAGTCCGCTTCATTCGCTCTCAGAATTTGGTGTTTAGCTTTTGCACGTACCTCCTCGCGAAGGTTTGGAAAACTTTCCGCGACCGCGGGGTGCCATGGTGAATGAGGAATAAAGAAAGGGAGTTGTCGTGCGTTGCGCCGTTATGGGGGAGGAGGAGCGGTGGCGGTGGTGGCAGGGAAGGAAGAGAGAGTGTGTGTGCGTGAGAGAGTGTGTGTATGTGTATGAGTGAGGGAGTTGGCGAGGGAGGGAGGGATGAAGATGAAGTTGGAGAAGAGCAGTCAGTTAGTCAGTCACCTGGCACCTCTGTTACTCTCCCGGGAGAGAAAGCGGGGGAGGGGGAGATCGGTGCACTTGAATTTTTGCTTCTAATTTCGAATACAGTATGTACTGTATTGTACTATACTGTATCATTCGATACTCGATAACCTAATATGTCATGTTCTATCCAGGTTAACAAGCACTATATCTATTCTATACCTACTCGTATATCTTGATACTACAATATTTGCTTATATTAGAAACCAAGTTCATGACTTGTGAGTGTTTTTCTCTATTGAATCTTCTTCTCCGTCCTTCCTCCCTTTCTGATATCATGAATCAACTTCAAGCGCGTTGCCAGGACAGGCCTAATTTGCTTGTGCGCGCTGCAATCAAAGTCAATGTGCCCGCCAGAATGGCACTCCCCATGAACATCTGTGCGTATAGATATCGTCCGCCGTCTCGATCTACCAGAGCTCCTGCAATAGGCGTGCCGATAAGGGCGGCCACTGCCACCACACTCAACACCATCCCCATACGAACTCCTGTCTTCTTCAAGTCGGTGGTCAATGTACTTAATGTGGCGGGAAACAAGGATTGGATGCCGGCCGCTGCAAGCCCATAGAAGGCACTGAAAGCGTACAGACCGTTATAGCTCCCTACCACCGCCCAGCAGTAGGCCACCACCCCAGTTATCAGGCTGAAGGGGATGAGCATATTCAATGGGCCTGTGTACCAGTCCGCCAGCAGGTTGGGGATCAAGCGACCCACCAGGCCTACCCCATTCATCACCAGAAGCACATCAATCGAGGTAGACTCAGAGACGCCGACGATGTCTTGCGCAAAGCTGCTGATATAGAAGAAACCCACGTAGAGACCCCAAAAGTTCAGGAACATTCCCAGCGCAAAGAGCGCATAGGAAGTCTCCCGGAAGGCGTTTAACTCGATCAGTGGTCCACTACGACGGGGCGGCAGCCTTTGCTGAAGAAAGATCAAGCAGGGTGTCAACGTAGCTAGCGAAACGAAGCCCAACGTTCGCACCGTCCATCCGTACCCAATCTGGGGTAGAAGCCGCATGACCACCGCCGGAAAGACCAGCCCTCCTGTAGCCGATCCCGAGGCTGTTATGCCAATCGCTATGGCTCGTTTCTTAGTAAAATACGTCGGAATCAGAGCAATAGTCGGGCAAAACATGAGCCCGCAGCCAATCCCCTGACCGATCCCCTGTGCCAGAAACAGTTGCCAGTACTGAGTGCACAGGGAAGTCATAAAGATGCAAAACAGCTCGAGTATGGCCCCGAGAATCAGGATGACTTTGAAGTATCCGGCGTCGGTGGCACGTCCCGAGAAAGTCCCAATGAAGAACAGTAGAAAGATCTGAATACTGCCAACCCAGGATATATCAGAGGGCGGCCGCTTCAGGGTCTGGGTATAGTAGTCTTGAAAGACGCCAAAGCTATTGATATAGCCCCAGGTATTGAAGATAACAAAATGGGCAAGAGCCACTTGGAACCATGCCCTGAAGCCGCCGTCCGGAGGGGGGCCCAAATCCTTGCCTGATTCCCTCGTCCGAACGAGCGTCAAACTTCGAGTGGTCAAGGCCTCGAAATGGCTCACATTTGTTGGGATCTTGGACAGCTCCTTCGGCCGTGGGGTGTCGATAACATCTTCCTCATCATCTCCCACGTAATCTCTAGATTCTCTATAGAGAACATTGGAGCTCTCCTCGGAGGGGGCTCCATGCGCTGGACTGATTGGATCGACGCTGCACGGTAGCTGTGAGGTTGTCTTCATAGCCGTTCGATACCTGTGGGGGATGTTCTAATTGACAATAAATATGATTCAGGTCCACAATCTGTTATCGGACTCTCCTAAAAGGCTGGCGAAGCACAAGACACCACGTCCGTGAAGGGCAGAAACATCATAAGAGGATAGGAACAGAGAACAGAAGAGACATACCCGTAAGAGTAAGAGCCTAAGAGGGGTAAACCAGTCAGTTCAGTGCGGGCGCGGAGTATAGGCCGAAATCCCCGGATTGTGGAGAAACAGGGCGTCTTTCCCTGCCGGGTCTCTTTCGCACAGAAGACCGAATCGGGCCAAGACAACATGAACGGCATGATGCCTCGGCTATGCGGCGTCGACTCGTAATGGGTGGTTTTTAAAACTGCATTCTGTGTTCTCTCTATATTCTTCGGAGCGCACGATACTTTTAGACAACGATAAAAGGATATGAAGGGGTAGCGCGTCATCTTCGCTTCGGCCATCTATAAAGCAGTTCAAGAAGGAAATAGTATCAACAGCTATTAGATTCGAAAGCGAAGAGAAAATGGACCCTCTGTCAGAGATGCCACAAAGAAGAACTCGAGAACGTTCCTCTCAATGGCCGACGAGCGCCCTCTTCCCAATCGCCTTGAGCTCTAACAAATCAATCACCATCGCTGCCCCGCATCAACACCCCGGGACGAAACATGGAGTTATATAAGCATGAAAACGAAGCTAAAGTCTAGATGAAACGATTTTTTTTTTTTTTTTTTTTTTTTTTTTTTTTTGTCTAGATGAAAATAAAAAAAAAAAAAAAAAAAAAAAAAAAAAAAAAAAAAAAAAAAAAAAAAAGAAAAAAATAATAATAATAATAGGGGGAAAAATAAAATGGGGGGCTGCATCCCGGTCGTGGCGTGGAGTGTTTTAGTACTCTTGAGGGCAAGAGCTATTGTTTAACATCGAGATCGTTTCAATCACATCCGCTGGTTCGAGAAGATGCCAGCTGGCGGCTGTCTGCTTTGAGCTTGCCCCGACAGTGACGGAGTAAACGTGATCTTGTGGCAAGTCGAATCCCTGCAGAGCACGAAACATGTCTGGAAACGAAGAGTGCAGTCAGCATCCAAGTATTTGCCGAGGATAATGGCGGCAGGGAGGTTGGGGACATACCTTCATCTGTGAAATCGTCTCCTGAGCAGAAGATAAACTCGGGTGCATCTCCTGGCTCATTTCCATACTCATTGACCAAGCGAGTGGCAATGAAGCCCTTGTTCACAAAAGTCGGCCGGACCTCCAAGTTGGCCTTACCAGACATAACTTCCACTTCCCATCGCTTGGCTACGGTATCTTCAAGCGCCTTCCGGCACTCGCGAGCTTGGAATGCACCATACTCAGGATCGGCGCGCCGGTAGTGCCACGTGAGAGCGACCCGCTTTCTCTCTATGAAGGAGCCTTGAGTTCGTTCAGTAAAGTGTTGGAATGTTTCCATGACCTCCTTTTGCCAGCCCATGTTGCTTCGCTCGGCCAGATTTTCCCAGTCGTCGGAATGAGGCTTCCTAATAAAACATCCATGCTCGGCACTTAGACCTAATTCAGGAATATGGCCCATCCACTCATCCAAGAAGGCCTGATCACGGCCACTGATGATCCATACTGCATTTCGTGGGTCGGCCGCGAGGGTCTTGAGAGTGCGGAGAACGCGGTCAGATGGAATAGCTGCTTGTGGGTCCTTCACAATCGGAGTAAGGGTCCCATCATAATCGAACATGAACAACCTCTTACGAGCTCTGCGATACTGCTTCAATAGTTTGAGTCTATCGAGAGCTGGCGTTGCCACTGACTGATCAAAGGAAGATAAATTCGTGAGCAGACGGGTGAGGAATTGCTTAGACCAGGCCGAGACGGTGTTGGCAGTGACATGCTTGTATAGTCTCTGCTGTTGTGATGCTTTCTCCTCAGGGGACATGCAGAGAGCTTTATTGATCGCGCCCGCAACTCCCACCGTATCCCATGGGTTGATATGAATTGCATTGGAGAGTGTTCCCGCAGTACCTGAGAACTCAGATAGTATCAAAGGGCCATTGTTGTTCTGCTGGCAGATGATATATTCCAGACTGGTCGTATTCATCCCATCCCGAACCGTCGTGATCAGGCCCACGTCGGCCACCCGCAGCAATGCAAAATACTCGTGCGGGGAAAGGTACTGCGGATAATATTTGACGGGTGAAAAGCTCAGAGATCCGAATCGCCCATTGATGGTAGAGACTAGATTCGAGATCTGGCTAGCAATCTTGTTTTCTTCCTTCTGCTCGTCGACGCTAGTGGGGCTGGTCACCTGGATCAGAACCACCTTATCACGCCATTCCGGGTACTTTTCGAGGAAGACTTCAAAGGATTGCAGCTTCTGTGCTACACCTCGGACACTGTCCAATCGATCGCGACCAACAATGATTTTTTTGCCGGCGTACAGCTTGCGAATTCCCAACACCGCTTGTTCTATCTCGGTGGAGTCAAAGGCTGCTCGTTGAATAGCACTGGTATCGATACCGATGGGAAACACGTCAACAGCCACATGGGCACCGTACGCGTCGACTCCAGCTGAATTAGAGTCGAATCCTAAGACACGGGTACAGCAGGACGAAAAATGCCGGGAATAGGAGAAGGTTTGGAAACCGATCATATTCGCGCCGAGGACTCCAGTGAGCACCTCCTTTCTCTTGGCGAGACAGCGCATGAATTCGCTGCTAGGGAATGGTGCGTGTAAGAAGAATCCGATGTAGACGTTAGGGATGCGCTGGCGTAACATGCTCGGCAAAAGGAAAAGATGGTAGTCATGAATCCAGACAATGTCACCCTCCTTGTATTCCTTCACAATACGATCCGCAAAAAGCCGGTTCATGCGGACATAGTCGGCCCACCACGTGCGCTCTGACCTTCCATCCGTAGGACCATGCTGCTTGTAATGAAGTAGGGGGTATAGTTCCCTCTCGGCATAACGTCTCCACCGTCCTTGGTCTTCCAAGAGGATGGGTTCTTCGGGGACATCCGAATCAGCCGACAGCCACACAGGGGCGATTTTACCATAGCGAGTGGAGCTCATTTGCCTATCGAGTTGATCTCGATCGGCTTGCCCTACCCGGAGTCCTTCCAGGAGAGGGTGATTTGGCGGCCGTTGGTTAGCATCGACGGGCACTGGAGCTGCTGCTTTATTCAAAGGTATGGTGGGCCCGTTTACGGTCGTAGGGAATTTGGCACTGGTGTTGATGGGGATCTGTTGCAGAGGTGCCGTCGTCTCTTGGGCTGGTTCTACCTCACCAGTCCAGCCAACGAGGGTGTGAGACCATTTCGAGTCCTGGGAGCCGAGATAGGCCAGAGAGTCAAATAGGGCAGATGTCCCGGGGCGCGGTTTCAGTTCCTAAAGCCAAGTCAGCTGAGTTTCGGAGTGTAGAGATAGCGTCCACGCAAAAGGAGATATGCGAGTTGATGGTTGGAGGGCTGACATACCCAGTCTGAACCGGATCGCATGTAGAGTTTGTACGGAACACAGAAGGCAGCACTAATGATCCGACCGGTGAGGTGCAAGCCCGGGTACTGCTCACGGGGATCCATGTCTGACAACGTGGGCGTGCCAACTAGACTTAACCGACGCAATAATTCACGTCCTGATTTTGCTTCTCTAGCCGCCTGGGCAGGCGTGGAAGGAGAGGCAACGGACGAAGTGGCGGCCGGTGAGTTGGTCGCGACGTCGGAGAAGTAAGAAGGACCATCGGAGACGACGGGCTGTTTCGATTCAACTGCCAGGTCTGGTGTGGCATTAGATGCTTGTAAGAAAGCGTCTTCGCCCAGAACACTCAGGCCCGACCCAATGGGACCCGGATTGGGCTCGCCATCGGGCAAGTTGGTGGAAGCCCGGTGTTCGGAGGCCATGATGACGGAAGCGGACAGGAACGGGAGAACACGACGGATGCTGGAACGATTTCCCGGATTAGTGCCCGCCCAATGCGTTTTTTCTTCTGTTTTGGGAAGAAGAACGAGGGAGGGGATGGGAATGAGCTCTGCTATTTTCACCCAGATGGGGTGATGGATATAAAATGAAGCAAAAGCAGAAGGGAGGAGGAGGAGGGAGGGGGATACGATGAGTTAAGTTTGTAGGAGGAAGAGGGGTCGAGTTACCCTGGGAGGGGAAAAGATAAGCTAAAAGTAGTAACGGTGGGTTGTTGGTGTTGTTGGGTGTGGGGAGAGCGGCGTTAAAGTTGCGAATTAGGCCATGAAAGCTGGCAGGAAAGTGGGGATAACGGAAAAGAAGAACAGCAAACAACAATCAAATCGAATTCACCGACAAACAGCAGAAGAGAGATTGAGGATGAGGAAGAAGAGGAGGAAGTGGAAGAGGAGAAAAGGGAACTATGAAATGGAAGGAGAGAAAGCAGAGTTCACTTTGAAGCTTTGGAGCCTGAGGCGGTGAGGTGCGCGGGGGTCACGTATCGGGGGAGTTGGGATCTTTCCTGGGCAGACTACGTACATACCCCACTGGGTACTCGCTCGATGAATGAAGATGACGATGAATGACCGACTTTATTGCCAAAGGCAAGGGCTTTTCAAAAGGGAGACGAAGCAAAAGTCATCTCAATCTTATAGCCAGCATCTTCATAGTCCCTCCCCCCTTTCCCCCCATCAGGCTCTTGTTGTTACAAGCGAATTAATTGAACCCATCCAGACTCCCAATTCAAGAGAAAGAGCCTGTCGCAATCTTACAATAAATAGTTACAGAGTGAAAACATCAAGCAGAAAAAAAATAGTTTCATCAGATTGCTTCGACGACACCTGCAAGATGTGTGGGAGAGCTCAAGCAAAGCCAACAAGCAATCAGCTGGCCCGGTGACCATCGGAAGGTGGTTTGCTACCACCAGCTTCTAACCTCCAATCCTTCCTGCACGAGTGAGGTAGAATGACGGAGAAGGGTAAAGAGACCAAGGGAAGAATAGGAGGCATGGGATGGGATGGGCCGAAAGGTTCCAGGCTCCGCGGGGTTGGCAACTCGAAAGGGAAAGAAACCATATAACGGGTGGAGAATATAGAGGAGAAGAGCAAAACGGGGGAAAGTCAGAGAGAGAGAGAGAGAGAAACCGGTTCAGTCTCCGAAGCCTGCTGGAAAAGATGAGGGATTGGTGATGCATTCGAGAGAGACATGCGAGACATCACGGCCGGGAAATTGGCCCGACGCACAGAAGATTCCCCCTACCAGGATAGTTGATCGGAAGAAAAACGGAGTCAGAGGACAAGAGGAGAATGGATTCGACCTTCGAGCCCTCGAGACAAGAGCACGAAACCACCCCACTTTGGAAAACCGCCCACTTTTCCTCTTCCCCCTTTACGTCATAATCCGAAGCTGCAGGTAGACCTGAGGGTAAATCGGTACGTAGGTCTGATTGGACGGATAACTCGAGGAGAGAGATAGATGCCAGACCGGAGCGCTGGTGCCGGACATCTCTCAACTGCGACCCAAGCACCGTCACTCGACGGCAGGCGTTAAGTTAGGTACCATGGCCGCGTTGTTGTCTCATCATGTCCCTTGTCCCTGAATGAGCCTATTGTCGATGCACATCGAGAATGGTCGGGCATGCTGTGCAGGGTCTCGTGTCAAGTGTAGGAACCCGACGATCGATTCCTGTAGTTTTCCATGGATTTAGCCTCCCTAACCTGACTTACTTGCCTTTATAAGTTGATACATAAGAGATACTGAGTAGTACCAGAACCCCACTGAAAAGGGAGGTACTACTCAGTATTATGGATGTACACAAAATAACTGATGATGGAAGAAGCGCATCATTACTCCGTACCGGACCCTACTACGTATTATTATTGACTTGGGGAAGAAGGGAAGCCCCAAGCGGACTCGGGAACAAAAATAGTCCTTACCCGATCTGGAACGGGTGTGAACCTGGTGAAATACTCAAGATTGATGCGCCTAAGGCTAGACTAATTGAAAGATACATGGTGTTGTGCTGACTCAGCTATGCAATCTATATAGTCACGTGATGAGGACTTGGATGTACATGAATTTCCCTAATCATGGTTTCCCCATAATAGTAATTTATTTACACAACTTTTTTTCTGTTGCTATTGATGCTCGACCATGACAAGCTTCCCGCAACGAAGAATACTTCTTTCACGCAACTATGCGTCTTGGTACACCTCTCCGCTGACAATCCCCTGTCGACGTTTGCATCGGACTGTCGACTGCAGGAGCGACAATGGTGCGATTGTTCCGGATAGCCTGGAGAAAACTCTGGATGCGCACCGCGACGCCAACCGCGCAAGTTTGATTCGCAGAGTTTATACCGGGGATGTAAGTCCGGTTCGCAAGGTCCCAAGCACCGTCAGGAGCGGGTCTCGGCCCAGTCGTCCACAAAGTCATACTACCAGTCATGGGGAATCTCTGAAACCATTACCTCCTAGTGCTGAATCGATCACAGCAGCCTCAATAACCTCCGCTCCTACTCAGGGCACGAGTCTAAGCTTCGGCGCGTTACGCAGTCCACGATTACGTGCCGTTTGGTTAAAGCAGCTGGAGCATCCGAATAAAACACAATTCTTTCAAGATGGTGGCTCGCAACTCAGTGCGGAAATTCGAGCGTTAGGGGACTACATCATGCCGACTGCCGTCGAGGAGGAACAGGCTCAGCAGATTCTTGCAGAGATTTCTCAGTTGCTCGAAGGGGTCGTGTCGCATCCGCTACAGTGGTCAGGGGCTCGGAGCCTCGGACTCGGGACGACTTTGTCTGCTATGCCTATTCGTCTGCTCGTTCCTGACCCCAGTCGCTCAGGGCAAGTACGAGAACCGAGTCCCACCCGGCCATATATGGTCAGCCAATACGCAGACCTCCTAAGAGAGGTCGAAAATGAACTTCGGCGTCATCCGTCCTATGTAGTACTACGCCACACCTCGGCAAATGTTAAGTCAAATCAAGCTGGCATCCTCGACGTACGCCACCGTGAAACCCGTCTCAGGCTGTCGTTCCACTGTGGTGAGAAATACGACAACCTGTATGAACATATAAAGAATTGGCAGGCTGAATATCCATCGTTCCGGTATTTGTTTGTGGCAAGTCGCCTTATCTTGCAAAGCAATATCTTATATGGTAAAACCGGTGCAGGGATCACCCACCCTGCGCTCGCCGTTCTCCTCGCAAACTTCTTGAAGATGAGCCATGGCCGGTTTCTCGGAAACAATGACTTGGGTGAGCAACTTCTCGCCTTCTTGCACAAGTTCGGACTAGAGGTCGACCTCCAGAAGTCCGGGGTCGCCGCTGACCCTCCTGCTATCTTCGACCGGCGCATGATAAGAAGAGCCTACCAAGAGCATGGTGCCAAAGCCAATTGGCCCGTTCACCTTCGTGGTCAATTTTCCCTCCTGAATCGAAGACAAACTGCCCTGGAGAGGGGCAACTTGGCTTTAGCACAGCGACTATGTGTTCAGGACCCCACAAATTATTTGGAGGACCTAGGCACGCCATGTCTGCACACGGCGTTCGTACAAATGACTTTCAGGGACGCATACCAAGTGCTCCGCACCCGCCTTGCGGAATGGTCGGGGGGGCGCGTCACCCCAACCAGAAATCTTCTGGGCTCTGTCATCAGAACACCTTTCGACAAGACTGAACAGATGCGCAAACTTCTCGCATCTAGGAAAGAGCTCTCACCACATCGCAGCAACTAAACTTTCACTTCACTTGTGTACCTCGTACGCTTGGCTGTAGCCCAGGGAAATTTATAATACTCGGCTTTCATCGGTCACAATAGTCATTTTCATTTGTTGTTTGTGTCTACACATGGACAACTCCCGATGCATCCGCTTTGCTACCAAGTAGTACGGGACGAGATATCATAGGTGAATTGAGAAGTATTATCGTTGAAGAAGGCTCGCTTGCTTAGGTATGCATAGAAGTGTATGTCACATAATCCAGTGGTCCGTCTTGATTTCGTGAAGGGTATATATACATGTCGAGGGAGAGCATCTGCAAAAAGTACCGGATGGTAGCGGAGGTTCAGAAAGGCCCAGGGCCATGGAAAGCGTTTCGAAAACAGAAGGAAGAAGCAGGAGGCGTTGAGGAATCGTGCTAATTGCTGTTTGACAGTTAGAGGATAACCATAGCCGTAAGTCGAGAGCAGAGAAAGGGACACGCACTAGATCTCCAGTGGGGATATTTGGTCTAATGTGTAGAGCCAGTTCCCGCCTTGTTCTTCTTTTTCAAGCCTATGTTCGAATTAGCAGGGTCAGCGAATTAGGAAGATAACTGTTTTGGGGGTCGTGAAGCACTAACCAGTCGTAAGGCCAGAGAATAAGATGACCCTGAACCTGATTCAACAAGTCTTCCGCTCGCTGTTTGTCCATCACTTCATCCGCATGGAAGTCACGCTTTGACCCGAGCGTTGTTGCTCGTCGTCTCCGCCGCCGAGACTGACCGGTAGCATTTCTGTTCAATGCGTCAGAATAATCGATGGCCGGGCGATCTGACCGGTGTTTCTCGACGTCCTCTCCAGAGGAGCCGCTATCCTCAGTCCGTCCATTCTGCACCCGCCGGGATGCTGAGCCGTCGGCTGCTTTTAGGGCAGACTTTTCATCGATAGGCGACAGTCCTTCGTGAGTCGCCATCTCAAGTGGTTGCTCGTTCGGGCCCTGTACTGATCCACTCTCACAATTCCCTGGTTTTTCGACGGTGGTTTGCTCTTTGCGTTCCACCTTATGGGCCTCGGTACCGTGGCTGTGTGATGCTAGACTGTGCTTGATGCCGGCGGCTGCTCCGGGGAAGCCGGCAGCTGTGCCTGGGGGCCCAGTTTGTCGTTGACTCGAAGGCTGCGGAACCTTGACACCGTGTTGGTTCTGCATTTCAGCAAAACGATCCCCATAAGCAGTGTACTCTTTGTATTCCTTCCAGGATTTCACCTCGCTATCAGGCATGCAGCGGAAAACACTACGAAAGACCTTGGTGTTCTTTTCGGCGACGGCAGACCAGGTATCCAAGTAAAAGAGATCAAGTATAGGGTCCCTCATACAATCTTTGTCGATGAATATATGCTTCACTTCAGGAGCGTAAAGGTAAGACTTAGCGTTATCACCAATGTCTCGTGCAGCCGTCAGATTGCCGCTCTTGTTGGTTTCTGTCTCCTGCTCCGGAGCTAGCGCCGGGTGTCGAATATTTGCCACGCCTTCAACAACTTGTGCGCCATCATTGCCCTGCGCGACCAGACCAGATGGTGCCTGCCTGGCATCGTTAGTGCTATGAAAGTTGGTATGCCGCACAGTGCGTTGTGAAGGACGTTTAGGCTGTTGCAGCGTGCCTTTGCCCTCCGGTGCAATAGGCGAAATCAGAACCTCTGCCTTGTCCTCCAAGATTTCGGTATCTCGACCCTTTTCGAGGCCGGCCTCCTGAGCCACTTGCAAATGGTCTGGCCCGAGACCATCCACATCTTTCTTGTGTTCTGGGTTAGAGGTTACCCTCGGGTCTGCAGTGAGCTTCCGATTCGACTTGAGATTGGGATTGTTCCCCTGCTCCCAGTCTACGTCATGATTGAAACTGTGCATGTCTTCCGAACGAGAGAGAAACTCGTCCTGAATGCGGTGGCGGCGCTCAATCATGTCTCTCTCGTCCCTCTTCTCCAGCATGAGAGACTCGGAGTCAGGTGCCTCGTTGGTCTCAGATGGCTTGGATCCCTCTTCGGCAATCTGAATCCTTAGTAGCTCTTCCTCGGTCGCCAAAGAATGTTCCATCAGCTCATCGACATCGACACCAAGATGCTCTCTCATAAGCCGCATGCGAAGAGTGTGCGGGAAACGGCCCACAAGGTAGGGACGGCCGTTCATGCTAGACCATATCATGTCCGTATCGCGAACCACCGCCGCAACTTCTGAGTCGCGTGATCCGAGCATCGACCGTTCGTTGATGTTCGCGGAACCGATGATAGCCGCGCGGTCATCAACGACCATGCATTTAGCATGAATGTACAGCTGTTCAGTCACGAGCTGCTTTTGCGGACCGATTTTTCCCCATGACCGGAGGCTGAAGAATTGAATGTAATCCTCAGGCTCGATTCCCAATGCTCGTAACCGTCCAAAGATTGACGTCTCCCCACGACAGATACTGCGATATTGGCACATCATGATCAGGCGGACGCTAGTTCCACCCTCGCTATCAACAGTGTTCTGGAAACCAGGCATCAAGGGGATGACAATCACGGCACGCCATGCTTCTTTGTTCTTTGCAGCCCGGGTGATGCGCTCTACCAATGCGTCGCCGATTTGATTCTCGATTTTTCTACCGTCAATCTCGCAGGTGCTGATGAAAAACTGGTTCTCAATGTATACGAAATGATCGGATTCCTCAATCAGTTTCACGTAGGCGTTCATGATGCTGTGTTCGGTTATGTCCGGTGTGCCTGTCGACCACATGCTACTAGAACGTAAAATCTGAACTTCGCAGGTCCCATCAAGACCGAGAGCTTCCAGATCAGCGGCATCAAAATCAGGAGGTGGAAGTAAGAATGGCGTTGGACGGGTTGGTTTTCGCTGGCGCAAGATGTAATTCCACCTTTGGACAAAATGGCGCGTGAGGTCTCGGGCCGGCTGACCCACTACATGCATCGAGATATCATGCCAAGGCATCCTGGGAATGATATTCCGATCATACATCTCTTCGTATGGTTTGTCGAGATCGTAGAAATCTTGTATCCGAGGGTTTGAATAGTCCTTGCCAGGCCAGAGCTGGCAATGATCCGCGTCCTTTGGTCCCTCCCGTGTCTCGAAGCCGGTTGGCTTATCATCCGTCAGAAGATGTTGAGGTGTGTCCCATCTTCCGAAACACAAATCAATACCCCCAACAAAGGCCAGAGTGTGGTCGATGATGCATAGCTTCTCATGGTGTGCCCAGAAGAAAGTATTCTGCCGGAATTGATTGGGCGAGCGTTGAACAAAGACATTCGGATGTAGATCAAGAAGAGAGAACTTGGAGTACTCCGAATCGATTGGAATGGCGGAGTTGATGTTCCGATACATGATCACAAAGATCTTCACACCTTCACGCGCCTTACGCTGCAAGAGACGGTCTAAGCGCCATTTCTGGCTGATAGCGGCCGGTCGACGCATGTAAAGCTCAGGGCTGAGCCACCAGTCATGAATATAGATGACATCTTTGGCCTGGTTGATCGCGCGGGACACAACCCACATGTGATCACGCGCATCCACCAGCCATTGCGCGAAGCACTTCTGCCGTACAGGGGCAAAACTCTCAAATCGATTCGGTCTCGCCCAGGGGGTGTTATTGACCATGAACCGTATCGAGTCCTCGAATTGGTGGAGTTGCCGCTCGTTCCTGGCCAGCAGTCTGAGCTTTCGTTCCGAATTCTCGAGCCTTAGAGTGTGATGCTGCGGGTGTCGAGCTGACTCCGTTGCAGACTTGGCAAAGTCCTTTGCCTTTTGGTTGCGCAAGCTAACCTTCTGAGTTTGGAGCTTGAAAAAGGGGTCTACCAAGAACACATCATATATATTCATCTCCTCCGGCGAATCGACGCATACAACGTAGCTGTGCCTCACAAGGAACCATTTGGGTGAGTGACGTTTTTTTACCATGCCTGGAGTCAGGGCTCTCCGGAAATCAAGGCCTTTGGACGACTGGATAACAAGATATCCTTCCTTGCCATGGTAACTCCCTTCGGCGGCAAGACGGACACCCAGTGCCGAAAGCTCGAGGAATTTGCACAGGCGGTTGCTATCTGGCTTAAAGATAAGGAACCGGATTAGCTTCTGTAGGTACGACTCCAGCTTCTTTCGTTGCCTCTCCGGGTAAGTCTCTTTCTTGTTAGCGAACCCAGCTTCTACCGGCCCGGATGAGCCTGCAGGAAGCTCTCCATCTGGGATTGTCGCACTCGACTGTCTGCGAGACATGCCACCAGATGGTCGCCGCGGTAATTGCTGGTGCTGCTTCTTACCGCCCCTTTCGTTGCCGCTTGTTACCTCAGCCGCCGTCTCATATCCACCATCGTCCTCCTCATCTTCCATGTCACTTTCTAAGCCGCGCACACCTCGAAGATATGGAAACGCACTGCGGGGAAAGCGCGGGAGGTTCTGTCCACTCTCAGTGTTCCGTAATTGAATGTACTTCTGCGTTCCAAAGTGCAGCTTGTACTTCAGATGAATATTGGCGAAATCCCTCAAGGTACGGTGTATAATCCACTTCATCCGGGTCATTCCACTTCCGTACTCGAGCTCGATACGAAAAACCAGATGACGGTCGCCGGAGTGTGAATCGATCTTGCTATCGGTGACCCGCACCTTGAGCTGTTCGAGTAATATTGGAATGCGCTTGCTTCCATGCTCGTCCCTCTGGAACATGCTGGCTAGAATGAGGGCGGCCGGCACCCCGGACGTAAGTTCTGCCAGAAGTTCTGCTGATTTTGCATGATCGACCGTATTATCCACCTTGCGTCTCTGCCCGATCAACTTGAGTCCAGCTTTGATCTGACGCCACTTTTGAGCGCTCAAGCTAGAACCCCGATCAGCCCGGTGGCGCCGCCAAGGTGGCGCGGTACCCTCGGTATTGTCAGATGGGCCAGCCAGCCCGGTCAGTCTTCTGAGGTTGCTCGGCCTTCTCTCGTCGGGGTTCGTCGCAGTGTCCAGCTGACGTCCGCTATAAGTGAGTCCCCTCGCATTCGCAAGCCAGACACTTCTTCGCCTCCATGCCGTATCCCTGTTCAACCGGTCGCGACCCTCATCTTCCGAAACTCCCTCCCGCTGCTGCGGGATAAAATTCCCAGTGCTCCCCCGGCGCGGGAAGAAGTTTGACCGGTAATTCTCAAAGGGTGCAAATGAGCTGGGCAAATGAAACGACGGGCGAGTAGTAGCTTTTGGTGTATTTGGTTGCGTTTGAGAGGTCGACTCATCTTTTTGACGTCTGCGTTGTTTCTTCTTCTTCTTCTTTGGCTGGTGGACACGGTTCTCCCCTGCGCTCTCCTCCGCATCGGCATCAATGTCGCTTCCCTCCTCTTCCAGGGTGTTTGGGAAACGAAACTCGCCCCGTTCCGAACCCGGGGTTGCTAGATCGTTGTTGGTGGCTCTAA